ATACGCCTATAATTCCATATGTAATTTGTAATGTGCCTTTGATTGTGATGAGTTATCTCTCTTCTTCCTCTCTACCAACTTTATTCATATAATTAAAAAAAGGAAACCCAAATGATATATATATAGATCTTTAACGGTTTAAATTATGAATAATTATTGAGTTTATTATATGTGTATCAAATCGGTTGTATTTAAGGTTTGATTTTATTTTCTATGTTGTTTGGTAGGTTAAAGATGTGGCTACCATACTACATTGGAAGCTGTAGGAACTCTTTGAAGCCTTTTTCTAAATTTTTATATTTTCGAATCAATCACACCAGCTTGTTATTTTTATGCATGTAGATCATAAAAACCATTCGCATTATATCTAATAATTAAATATGAATATTGCATGCAAATGGTCTTTTGATTTTATATAATAAAACAATTGAAATCTTTTTTTTTTTTTTTGAGAAACAAACAACTGAAATCTTGGGAGACAAGAATTCAAAACAAAAACTAAAAGGAAAAAATATATAATCAAGTGTTGTTCTTTTCTTTCCTAGATTTCAATCTATTGCATTTGAAAGTAAGTACATAAAATATTGCACAATGCACACAAACAGATATGAAGATAGACTTCTGACAATTTTACTGCCAACTAATCTAATCAAGGGCTACCATCATTTGTCCCGTTACCTTTTTGAGCTCTATCTGTGAACTTTTAGTCCTAGTGCTTCTTTTGTCCACTACCTTCTCTGTTTCCTCCTTTTTGCTGTCTTCATTTTTGTTTATTCCTTAATACTATATACATGCGGTTTAATATGTAACAAGTATTATGCATTCATATTTAGAAAAAGAGGTTAGTCAAAATTTGAAATTTAAACTTTATTCAAATATTTGAACGGGAGTATATCAAGACAGTTAATAACATTATACTAAGAAAGGGGACAACCTTGTCATATACTCCAACAACAATTTTATAGAATTTTTTAGGGCGGTGTGAATGGTAATTAAATGTCACACATTTTAATAAAGTATTTAATAATAACACAAATAGTCCTCTATTATTATATTCTTGCTGCCTTAAATATGATTAATAAAAAATTTATATAGATTCTGCGTTTAATTATGACTCGTCTGGCACATTATTATTGCTCTGTCTCATTAATTTTCAAGGCTACATGTCCTGTATTTAATACTTTTCTAATTATGATCACTTATGAGTTATGGGCTAGTGTGGTCTACATTATCACACATCCCTCAAGTTTCTAACTTGTAAGATTTCACCTCCTCGACTTATAAATTTTTCATGAAAGACCTCAACTGTTCTATACTTTCTTAATATATATGTTGCATTGATGCATTCATGGAAAAAGGTCCTTCTACATTAATATATAATCATGCATGTACTAATATATTTCTTTCCTTCTTTTGATTATTTTATATAAATACTTCAGAATTTCTCAAACCAAAATAAAAAATTGAAATATCAACAAGAAAGCATAATATAGTCAGAAATCATTAATTCATTTTATTTATTTTTTTGCGATTAATTAGAGATTAATTCATGCTCATTTTAACTGTTTTTAACTAAAGTATTATTTTTACGTTATTGTTACGATAAAAGAATTTTCATCCCTACCGAATGAATAATCGGTAGCAGACATTATCAARCTCTTTTAGTTTATTTTTGTTGAAAATTCGTTATATAAGCTAAGCTACGGAAAAAAGCACATTACATATTTTGCTCAGAAAATGAAAAAAAAAAACAAAGATGCAATACAAATCTACAAAGATACAAAATATCATTTTGGTTAAAGTGATACATATATATATAGTTTTAAAGCAAAGTAACACAAAAAACTAAATGAGCTAACCGAACACTACAACATCAGCAACTTTTAATATTAGACAGCTGATGTTTCAGTGTTTGATCCTCTTTAACTAAGACATCAAAATTACACAATTTAGAAAAGAAACATAATTTGAAAAACGTAAATAAATGCAGCAAAAACACAACATATTATTAATAACAACGTCCATCAATGAAATCCATCATGTAGGTGAGTGTGCTGAGCTCAAAAGCATCCTCATGATGACCCCAAAGTGATGAACTCGTATAGTTATTGCCTTGATGAAGAAGATCAAGCCCTTCGCTCATAAGCAATATATCATCTCCAAGAACATTTTTATTATCAAATTTCACATTCGATAAAAAAATTTCGGATGCATCTGCCAAATTGACCATCTGATTATTGATGGGTTTGAATGTTTGATCTTTGATTTCAATTTTTTTACTTAGATGTGTATTCCAATAGTTCTTCACTTGATTGTCCGTTCGACCTGGAACTCTTTTAGCTATCAAAGACCACCTATATATACCATGTTAATAGATAAATCCTTTAAAATAAAATATTTTGAAAATGGATGTGATTATTTACCTGTTACCAAGCAATTTGTGGAGTCTAATGATAAGATCTTCTTCTTGGTCGGTGAAATGGCCTCTCTTCACGTTTGGGCTAAGATAATTCATCCATCTTAATCTACAACTTTTTCCACATCTCTTCAAACCTATTATTCATTAATTACGATATATGTAACTTCTTAACTTAAGCTCTTTTTGTAATGGGAACCTCAAAAAAGTGTACTTCAAAAACTACAAACAATCAAAGCCTCAATTGCACCCTCATGAAAAGGGAAAAATCAGTTGGAGAGAGCGAAAGATTTACCGGTTTTTTTGGAAATGCGGTTCCAATGGCCTTTGCCATGAGCTTTGACATAATCCATGAGGATCTTGTCTTCTTCAACTGTCCACAAACCTTTCTTATACTCATTGTTTCTTTCTTCTCCACTTTTCTTTTTTCTCATTCTTCTTGTCTCTTTGCTGATAAGATAGAGAGAAGAGCGAGAGTTGGGGGAGAATTAGATGATAGACTATATAGAGAATAACTCTTCTATATAATACAATACTAGAGCTACAGCTATAGTGTTGCGAAAGCTAGCATAATATTTTATTTAAGTTATATATATATAGTTTTTTTTTGTATTGAGAAGGTAACTTTGGAGGGCAAACACTTCACATGCTTCTCTCTTTCTTTCTTGGCTTCTCTTTTGGTAATACTTATAGTTAGATGTGTATGTTTTGGAAAATCAAATGTGATGTTAAGACTAAAACATAATTTCAGGGGAACAAAATTAGTTAAAATAACATTCTCGTGGATGTTTATTATTAATAATAAAAATGAACAAATTAATCTTAGATACACACGGTTCAATATTTTGACCAAAAAATATATATGTTTTAAAAATCTATATATAATCAACTTTTCAAAATAATTGAAACATATAGAAGTTTTAAAATGTATAGTCTAATAGACTTATCTAGTAAATACATATGAGTAAATTAATTTTATAATGATTTATAGATTTGTAATTATATGTTGATTTATGTTTGGCAAATGATAGCTAGTGATAATGATAATGGAGGTCTGAGAAGTCAGCTGACAAATAGATAAATAAATTAACTAAGAATCTTCAACGAAAAAGAACGTATAGAGACTATACTCTATAGATAGTGACTCAACTTAAACATGCGATTTAATTGGTTGGGTATACCAAATTAATGACATATATAAGAATTTATGATGACATTTCAATTCTAATAGTAGTATCATTTATTGGGTACGTTGTGAGTTATGACGTACGTTTATCATCAGAATTCAATTTTCAACAGTAATTAA